TATATATATATATATATATAAAAAAAATTCTCTTCACAAAAGTAAACTTACCAATGCTTCAACTTGTTCCTTGTGCCTCTGCTCAAAGCTGGCCTGGTCTACTTTACTCAGCTGTTCTGGGTGCAAACCAATCAGCTCAGGCTGCACCTTCTCTAGCAGAGCCTTGACCTCCCACTCCTGTCTCTGTTCATAGCTGCGGAACGGGTTTGTATCAAGAGCATCAAAATTGGGTTCCCCTGCACCTGGAGAGGCACAAAAAAAGCAGGGATTTTTCTCTCTTTTTTCAGTTATAGGAGAACTGTGACCTGTACATTTTTGGTGACATTCAACCCTGCAGCTCTGTAATATACTGAAAGAAACAGATTATAAATAGACTTTCGTTCTTCCATACTTCCATGGTGATGCACATTATGTGTGTTGTGTGTGCCAGTATGTACACTGCATTTTTTTCTCTGCCAAATTTAAGGAATAAATAAAATTGAACAATACATAAATATGTCCTCTGGATGTAAATGTCTAGGGAGCAGACAATGGGTTGCATTAGCAACACTTCAAAGTTTGAAAATAACACTTCCAATATATCTCTTCATTACTTTAAAGATTTCAAGCAATTTTTTCGTAAAATGAATTAAAGACTTGAATAGCTCTGCTCACAAACACCAGAATATGGAAACAACTTTTAATGTACCTTGAATGAATGAATGATGCATTTATATAGCGCTTCATTGTGTATTGTTGTACACCCAAAGCGCTTTACAATCATGTGGGGGGGTCTCTCCTCAACCACCACCAGTGTGCAGCATCCACTTGGATGATGCGACGGCAGCCACAGGACAACGGCGCCAGTGCGCTCACCACACACCAGCTACAGGTGGAGAGGAGAGAGAGTCATAGAGCCAATCAAGTGGTTGATTACACTGTCAACCTTCAACCTTCTGATTACACTGAAAAAAAATTGTGTTAGTCTTGTTTTCGAATGCAAATACCTAAAGATTCTTAAACAAGATACATTTACTTAAAGCTGCAGTCCGTACGTTTTGCCTCTTTGTCGTTATCTCTGTTTGAAAACCTGGAATTGCAGCTGTGTGCAGAATTATCTAGTTTGTGTGGGTTGTGCACCGGCACGGCTCCAGCATGGATGAATCTAATGTTTTGAGAAGTATGTGTAGCAGTCAGTCACTGCACCGGTGTGAATCCTATACTTAGTAATCACAGATTCTAGCCTACGTCTTGGAATATATGACTCAAATAAGAATTTTCACCGTATAGTGTCATCTGAATAAGCAAGTAACAAGTCTGCCACGTTTGTTCTGACCAACTGAGGAAAAAAGCATTACAATAAATTGCGCTACCAATGGTGATTAAATCTAAAGATCGG